ATTGCTGTGAAGAAGGCAGCATTCATTGTAGATGTGTAGGTCTGGTTCCATTTTGTCCTCTTCTTGTGCTGACTGCTTCCTGTTGCTGTTATATTGTGATRCAGCCTCTGCATCTTAAGTGACAATACATGTCCTACAGGGAAAAAAGCTTTGATAAGATCTTGACTGAGCTTGTCCCTGATTGTCATCAGCAAAAGCTTTCTTGTCATTCAGTTTGAGATTCTTCCTCCTCACTAGTGTACCTTGTGCTGTCTCAAATAAAGTATGGGATGCTGCTGGTGGTGGTACTAGTGCTGGAGCAGCTGGAGGARGAGGAGGAGGAGCAACAGGGACAGCACCTTTTTGTTGCTGATCCAAATCAGAATCCTCTGGGGAAGAAGGATCCTCTAAAAGTTGTCCCTCAGCATGGCCTATCAGAGGTCAATTTAGTCAAAGAAGATTGTTTATGACTTCTCTTGCTTCTTTCTTGTGTATTCATTGTGACAAGAAGCTAATTCCTGTTGTTTTCTCATATCAGAAGCTGTTGTAAAAAATGAGTCACAACTGTATTATACCAAAAGAACACTTCTACTGGGTACTTTTCTATAATTTCTATGATTCAAGGCTTGCTACATCGACAATTGCAGAGAGATATTGATTGATACCAGTTATAGGGTCTAATATTGAGTGGAAGTGATTTAAAAGCTGGGATTCCCATGGTTGGTTGCTTTGAATCAAGTTATTTGAAAAAATGAAAAGAACAGTGTACTGGAGGGAAGTTTTCTGGTTGGGTTGACCATGATAGGGTCTTCACAATTTCATATAAGGCTTCTGGTACATGATCCTATGAGGGACCATCCCAAGAAGGGAGTGATCTTGCAAGATGCTGAACAGCTGGTGGGGCCTACCACCAGCATGCTGCCACCAGGTCTAGTACAAAATATACTTAGGCCTTGTACTTGCTAACACCTTGTGATCTGGAAGAGGCACTAGTATGACAGTCAGAGCCATAAATTCTGYAGAAAAGAATGCTCCTAGCTGCTCTGAGAGGCAGCACCTCCCTTCTGGGAGTAGTTGTGGAGGTGCAACCACTTTGCTAACATACAGAATATGCACTTCCACTACTACGCATAAAAACAATTGAAATTACATTAATTGAGGGATTGGGATCATTAATTTAACTTTCCAAATGTTAACAGTGAATGCTTGCAATTGAGGAGTCATTTTATGATTGGTCATTCCAAAATCAAACTGGTTATGTTTACATGGAAAGGAMTCCGATTTTCAAGACTTGATTGATTCTGTTGCAAGCTAGCATACTACAACCATCAAAACAGAAGTGGAAAAAACCCCAATACTAACCAAATAAACACATGAGAACAACAAAAAATATTGAATCATGTTGTGAACTACTAGTAGCAGAGGCATTTGGAATCTAGAACCATCACTTCTTGCTGGGAGAAGGTTGCTTCTGCTACTAGCTGCAGCGAGGGGGGTAGGAATCCTGGAGAAGGAGGAGTGGGTAGGACAGATGTACTAAGGTATGCTGGAATTATTTAAAGTATTGTTGTCTCTTTTTTGAGTACATATAAAAGACCAGCTACTAGTTATCTGGAGTGATGCCCTCAAACAGTGTTTGTTTCTTGCAATTACTAGAAGTAGTCAATAGAAGGAAGAAGTACTGAGCAATCAGATTGGTATTGGTAGTAGAAATAGTAGCAACATCCTGAATACTCCTCTACATTCTTTTCACAAACTCTGATAGCTAGTACTAGTATGAGGAGAAGGAAGTATTGGTGGACATTGGATGAGAACAAAGCTAACAAGGCTTCAGTTGGTCAAGTTTGGGGTGGAGTTGAAAAAGTGTATGACTCTCTCCTGTGTTAATGATGCTTGGTCTAAGGACTGCTTTTGGAGAACAGTGAGACCACGGAAAGCTTTATTGCTTTTGTCCGACAGAACAATATGAAGACAAAAAGTTTTCAAACAAGAAGGAGGCTCCTAAAACAACAGGAAACAGGAACCTGAACTGAGATCTAGATCTGAGATCCAATGCTGCTGGGAAATGTGGTCCATAAAAAGATGATGCCAACTGATGTTACTAGTCTGATACTATCTCTGTCCAGAAATAATAGTACACTTTGCAGTTTTTTGCGGAAATAATTGTCTAGTATGGAATGGCCCTATTGTATAATGTGTAGAATAATTACTGCAAGTACTTTAACTATTGTATCACCATTCATATTTAAGAGTATTAGCACTACTTACTACTACTATTGGTACCAATACAGCACTAACTACTAGTATTGGTACTATTGTTGAAATCTGCCAGTAGTGAATGTGCAAAGGCAATCTTTTCTTGGTCACAAGTAGTTGATACTGGAAGCTCCCCTTCACAAGCAAGCTTTGTTTTCCCAAGGTGTCAAATCTTATAAGTATTGTCTCCACCAACACCAAGTGACTCCTCCATTGTACACTGTAGTGACAAAAAACATTGTTTAGAGTCTCACATTTGGATTCTTCAAATGCAGCAATCACATTGACAATCAATGTGTCCATATTGGAAGACCACTTTCTGTGCTGAATGCTCKGGATAGAATTAAAGAATTTCAAAGCCAGGACTGTTTGGAGGTTGGGGCTTCACAACAATATTCCAGTTGTTGTCACAGGCTGCAGCTGTTATAGCTGCTCTGTTGTTAAGTGTATGAGGCTTAGCATTGTCTTCCTGGATGACGCAACTTGGAACATGATCACTGTTGCCCCTGGGGAACTTCTCATAAATGGCTGGTAGAATTTTCTTGATCATGAGCTTCCTGTTCACTTCTTCATTGACATTAATAGGGTGGGGTTCAATGGTACCTCTGGGGAAATTTACAGAAAATCTCTGCACTGGTTTGCATTCCACAATAGGCCAAATACCAAGCTTTCCACCAAACCAAGCATTCCTGCATTCCTACTACAATCAAGTCTGGGCCTTGCTGTTGTGGTACAAAAAACATTACCTTCTTGATGTGCTGCTTTGAAGGTGTCTTGCCAACTGGTTCAAGCTCTTCATCAAGTAGATATGTGTTGCTTCTTACTTCCTTCATGAAGAACCATTTCTCATCAACATGTACCTCCACATCAAACAAGAATGTGCAAGGTAGAACTGGGGATGTTCATTGCTGCTGACAGCATCCTCAGATATCTTCTTTGTTTGTATGGAATGCCCCTCATTCCATCAAGATCTGAGATTGGCCTAGGCCTCCTAAAGCACTTGGACCTGTTGCTCCATACCTGAAGAGTGGGGTCAACGGAGACGCCGAGGCACCAGGCTGATCAATCCCCTGTTAATGGAGGCACCAGGTGATGCATCACAATCAGCCTGCATCAGCATTTTCCCAYGTGATGTGGATAGATTCCCTCTTTAGGCGCAGCAGCGCTTCCCTCCAGTGTCACCAATGGACTCCTTAAGAGTGGAGACAACAGATGCATGAGGCAAGTTGTTAGATTGTGCTTCCTCTACCTATGACTATGAATGGAAGCAACAGAGGCACAAGCTGAYGGGTCCCCTATCAGCAAGCGCCAGCAAGTCAATAGATCCCCTATCAATGAGGTACCAGGCAACATGTCGTAGTTGCAGTAGCACCGTGTGGTGAGTCACTTGAGGTGCAAAGAAGCCGTCTTAGTTGAAGTGCAAAGAAGTTGGTCTTTGTTGAGGAGCAAAGAAGAAGCCAGTCTTAGTCAGTTGAATGGAAAGAAGTGACAAAAAGGAGACAAAAGAGGAATTTGGGAGGTGCAACAAAACCAAGAGAGAAATTATCATGTGAAAATAACACCAGGGTCACATTTGTACCATGCGCACACCACTTTTTTTCTCTTCGCATCCTCTCTCCAGCTCAAAAATGAAAAAAAAAACACATGAAAACTGCACACGCCCAAGTACATGACCAAGCAATATTTAGCTCCTCTAATGACCCACAAAGACTGCATAAGAACATTCTCAATAAGTATGATAAGAATATCATGATAAAGCTCATAGCTAGTTGTTGCTGCTTGTGCTTTGACACTTAAAAATCTGTGCATTCATCTAATTCATTAAAGAAAAGAAGGGACTCCAAAGGAAGATTGGTAATCTCTGCAACAAGTAGTACTGCATACAATATCTCAAGGCAACCATTAACAATAAAGAGCAGTTCATAGTATGTTWMTATCACCAGGGTACTGGAAAATTGAAAGTAATTCATTCAACTCAAACTAATGGGAGGAGACTCTTCTTGTCAACAAAGGACACTCCTACTATCAAGGCAGCATACAGCAATACTGAAAAACTTCTAACCTACAAACATGAGGACTTTGCTTGTATCAGTACTAACATCACTTGTAGTCTAAAATGTGATAGATCTAATGTTACACAAGATGATGCATAGGAAAATCAGACTTGTATGCTCATTGTTGACATAATATTATCATTTGCTAGCATCAAACAGTTGGATACATTGAGTGAACTAGTAGTAGTGTCTGAATATATTTTATGACAAGCTACCATATAGTTTTGATTRCAACCTATCCGTTGTCTTGCAGGGTGACTTCAACCAACTCAAACCAGTGGGAGGCGACTCCTCCCTCTTGTTAAAAAAGACTTCGTCCCGGGTTCCATGGGTCTTGGTTGGCAGGTGTTGACGGGGGATGCTCCTTTAGGATGGCGGCAATGGTGTTGTGAACTGCAGGTACAAGGGTGAGGGTGGGCATGTGTTCTGTTTGTGGCGATTTGTTGCATTTTCACTGGATTCTTGTGGTATGTTTGCTGGTGAGTTTTATGCTGGTGGCGATGATAATGATGTGCATGAGAGGTGGATCTTCCCTCTTTCACATCATATCTCATCTTACTGTGGCAGTTCTTCACTCTAATACTTTCAAGAATGAGACCAAGTCTTGTTGAGGTGCAAGGGTATTGAATTTGCAAGGTTGCTGTTTTTGTATGGTTAGTGGAGGTTTCCGTCTGTCTGTCGTTTCCAATACTCAAAAATAACTTACAAAACCCCCCCAGGTTTTACACTTGCTCTTGATTTTTTTGAGAACATCTTTTCAATTCAAGTATGGTATTACAGGACTGTTACTAGAGGAATTGTATCGAACAGAGTTGTGGTTGTCATCGTCGAAATAAATCGGTTCGAAGATGAAAGAGTGAAGATCACAGGCATTTTCGCAAGTGACAGCAACATGCTCCTTCGAAAGCATATTGGTCGGAAACTGGCGGAGTATTACGCCCAGCCATCACACAAGGTAGTCGGCCGATCCTTGGAATTAGAGTCCGCAAGAGCAAACAACAATAATGGGCAATTGCTCTCGTCGCTAATGGGAGAATGGCACTGGAAACRTGTTTTTCAAAAAATCTACGAAGAGCGAGAGGGACACTGGCTGACACCGGTGGAGCTTTTTCAGCCTCATTATTCGTATATCCTGGGGGACTTTTGCGCTCATTTCTACGAACGGATGGAAAAGAATAAAAGTACTATCAGCCGCAACAGCAGGAACGATCGACATCCTAATTTAAACATTGAAACAAAATTTGAAATAGTAGAACTCGGTGGTGGGAGAGGAACGAACGCCAAATGGATCCTCTCGTATCTCCAAGAAAACAAACCAGACGTATACTCCGCGCTGATATCCTACACCCTGGTAGATTCCAGTCGATCTCTACACCAGACACAAAAGGAGCAATTAACAGAGGGGCCTCACGCCGAAAAAGTGCGCTTCGAGTTGAAGGATCTTTCGGATGTCGCAGAGGGAACGTGAGTGTCAATCAATGTGCCGATAAAGGCAGAAAATCTGTTGCTTGCTGCTACTGTTGTTCCTGGTAAAGTGAAGCCTTCGATGCGATTGGCCTGTGATGTCATGACCAAGCTTGGGTCGATCCTAGTATTAGTTGGGACATACTTACATATCTTCATATTGTGCATCTTATTCCTCTCTGTTGCACAATATTTTTAGCATTCCTTTGCTCTCGAAATCAACTGTTCCGACGGTGCTAATGGGAATGGAAGTACTCGACAACCTACCACACGACAAAATCAGGGGGAAAATACGGCACAAACTAGAACAAGCCGAGGTATCGAGTCCCATAAATGATTCCAAACAATCCCAACGACTTCGAGAAAAGTTTGTTCCCTTAAGCGATCCCTTGCTTAAGAGGATCCTTCGACTAGTACCGAGCTATTACACAATACAAAAAGAAGAAGTTTTACAGCCGGACGCGTGCTGGGTTCCAACTATAGCATGCGGCGTCTTGGATCATGTCATCAATCAACGTTCCAATCTTGGATTAGTGATGGCTGATTTTGACTGGCTTCCACCTCCCGATTTGGATATAACCACGAACTTTGACGAAGAGGATGATATTTTGTTGTTGTCAAAAGACAAAAAGAAACAAATCGCACTGAAGGAGACTCTGGCTAGAGGATCGCCTATTGTTACTGACATGGATGGAAGAGACCATGAGTCCTATCTTTCTGCACCTTCACATTGTGATATCTTGTTCCCCACTGACTTTCAAAAGCTGGCSTCGTTTGCAAAACGATCTCTCTCTCTCACCGAAGCAACAGCGGCAAACACACCCAGACCATCGCAGGTGGTTCGTGTTGAAAAGCAATCACAATTTTTGGAACGCGTCGGATTTGGACACGTTTCTAAAACACGGAGCTGGTTGACTGGCCACACGCCGCTTCTGCATGATTTTTCCAACTGTTCTGTCTTGACAATTTCCCCAGTGGAATGTACGAAGGACTCTCTAGAAATTAGAAGAGATTGCATACCATGAAATAAGCGCCAAACACTGATTTATCATATTTTAAATTATCTATTTCTCTACCATAGCATATCCCATCTGATTCGGTTAAGTCCCCAATGATGGTATTAAAATGACTTGAAGGGCTTCTCACTTTTCAATTTATTGAGGGATGGTACAATTGATATATTTACTTTTTTAATTAGAATTGCTGTTATAATGTTCGATCCTTGCAGCTAATAAGTTGATTGCACTTKTTTTTGATATGGCACCTAACGCCTGGGAGCTCCAAAGGGAGTTGCACTTCCAAAGGCCGGGGCTGGTACTCCAAAACCGCTAGATTGACCACCAAATGGTGATGGATTGGACGATTGCGCCAAGGAACCAAACCCCGAAGAACCAAATCCTGAGCTCGCTCCGGATCCAAATGATCCTGCGCCCGGCGGTTTAGAAGACGACATAGATCCACCACCAAGAGAGGACGGTTGCCCAAATCCCCCTGGACTTTGGCCAAAGGAATTTGTTGCTCCACCCATTGCAGATGTTTGGCCAAAACCAGATGTCACGGCCGATGAACCCATGCCGTGGGATGGAGCAGTGGTACTCACGCCGAAAACAGAAGGATCCAACTGGTATTTCTTTGCGAGATTTCGAAACATTTGTTCTTCCTGGCCACTATACTTGGCCAAAAGCTTGTCTACTTCAGCCAATTTACTAGGGTTCTTCTCTTGATAAAACTGATGCAATAATTCACGTGCAGATTTTCCATTGAACAAACGTTGTGAATTTGGTTGCATGGGAGACGGTGATGCGACGCCAAATGGACTTGGAGCTGCGGCACTACCAAAAGGTGACGCAGATGACAATCCTCCACTTGTACCGAAAGGTGTAGAACTGTTAACACTTGAGGCAGTTTTACCAAATGGGGATTGAGCTGGAGGCTGGGAACCTCCAAAAGGTGTTGCAGATGCTTGTGTGTTCATAGCGCCGAAAGGCGACTGGGCTTGTGTWCCGAATACATTTGATTTTGAAGCTGCACTAGTACCAGTAGATGTCCCAAATGGAGACGAATTTTTGCTTTGGTTGTTAAAAGGTGCAGCCGGAGGGTTTGAATTCTGTTGGGTAGTGGTACTAGATGACGAAAAGGGCGAGGCTGCCATAGTCGATCCGCTGTTTCCAAACCCCATAGGAGACGTCGATTGATTAGTCATAGTCATCGAAGTAGAGTTTAAGGGCGCCTGTGATTCCTGCAACGGATTTGGGACTTTGTACTTTGCGGAGAGTTTCTGGAACATCTCTGGTTCTCGACCTTTATATTTCTGAAGAGTTTTATCAACTTCACCGATCTTGGATGCATTGTACTTCTGATAAAAAGAAGTTAAGATGGTTTTGAAGTCCTTCCCCGTACTCGTTTCTGTAGCTGAAGTAGACTTCATGGCTCCGAATGAAGGCGCCTGTTTTGCGTCTGACTTCATAGATTCCGACGACAAAGACTGTCCAAGAACTTTCATACTTCCAAAACTTGTTGATGTTGCTTCTTTTTCTTTCAAAGAAGCTTTCTGTCCTGGCGGAGGCAGTGGAGATTTAGCTTCAGGTCGATTGCTTTTGGCCGCAGAAGAAGGATTAAWAGGGCCTTTGGAGAACGGATTACTGGGTGCCTGTTTAGGCATCGGAGGTAGTGCTGCGGATGAAGAAGTAGATTTTTGGGCGATACTCTTTGTTGTCGCCACAGAGGCTACGGTTTCTCTTTTTTTCCCACTCGCGTTGGAAAAGGGGTTTGATGGAGCAGTGCTAGCTAAGGGTGGTAAGGCCGCTGTTTCGATCGTACTGCGTTTCGTGGGCACATCCTTCGATTGAGATCCAACTGTCGAAAGCGGGAGCGAGGTTGACTCCTTTTTGATGTCGATTGCAGCTTTTAATCTTTCGGGCGTTGTCCCAAAGCTAGCTAGCGTATCACGAGATGAATCGGATAATGTTGTTTTCTTCAAATCTTGAGGAGCGTCCAATGAGAACCGCGTAACTCGATCCACATCAATTGTTGCTGGCTGATCCCAGCCACTTCTAGCTCTAGGCTTGGAGGGTGGAGAAAATATACTAACTCTTTTCGAAACAGAAAGAGATTGTTCTTGCATTCGATTCGATTGGGATTTCGCTGATGCACTTATAAGCAGACCGCAAGGTGMGCTCTTGTGTTGTCTAAATTCTTTCTTGCGATCTGGTGTCGCTTGCTCACTGTTAACTTCGATCGATAACGTATCGAATCGATCCATCTTCATATTTTCGTTCGATAATTGTGTCATTGCCGACTCGATAYTCTTCCAATGAGAAACAGACGATTTCGATGGTTTCACCTCTCGAGCCGCAAAGGGCTTTCGTTTATTTTCTATATCAATGGGCCGCAACTTATTATACCCCTTTGGTGACTTCAAAGATGAGTTATCCAAGCTATAAGTTGACCGTCCGACTGTGCGTTTCGCTCTACCACGAAATGGATTTTTTTCAGACACTGCAGAGACGTCCCTCCTTATTCGAGACGAAACCATCTCAAATGCTTTTGCCCTTCGGTATAGATCTAAAACTCGTCGGAGAAGCAAATTCTGACCAATGGCAGGATCAGCATTGTTTTCTTCTAGTAAAGTAGCTCTTTCCTTCGCCAATTCCATTCTTCTAACGAGGTTACGAGAAGATGCGGCAAATCTCCTCCGATTCGTTTCTGACTCTCGGTCCAGTGCTTGCGAGTTAGCGATACTTTGGATTCCTTCGACATTTGATTCGTTAATTTCTTGGATGATTCCCTTCGTTGTATCAAGTTGACGGGAGGAATCTGTCTTCCTTGACAACAAAAATGCCGTCTCCGAACGATTTTTTGCGAGAGAATCATCTAYATTTAAGAGCTTTGTTCTCTCTTGCTCTACTTGTATCGTTAATTCTTCAATCTCATGGCGAAGCTCATTGTCGGCTATAAATGTCTCCACTCGCATCTTCGACACCTCAGAAATCGTGAAAGAAAAGGAGTTTATTACTGAACCGAACTGTAATTCTAATTTCGTCAATGGCTTTCCGTGACTCTTGATTTGACCAGTCGGATTATGGGTTGCTTGTGGAAATCGATTTGATTGCTTTTCAAATGGGCTGCTGGACAAGACTTTCCCCCCATCGTTTGATCCAGGTAAAGTAAAAGAATTACTAGATAWAGGCTTGACAGTAGGCTTAGTACCAAATGGAGTCGGTGCCTTGCTCGACATCGGTGGGAAAGCTGCCGATGAATCAGCCTTAGATGGGACTGCAGTAGCAGGTTTGCTTCCAAATGGTGTTGGTGACTTGCTCGTCATTGGAGGAAAAGCTGCCGTTGAACCATTTTTAGATACAGCTGCAGCTGGGGGTTTGTTTCCAAATGGCGTTGGTGCCTGACTGGACATGGGCGGAAAGGCTGCAGGTGAACCAGTCTTCGATGGGGCGACAGGTTTGCTTCCAAATGGTGTTGGTGCCTTGCTAGACATGGGTGGAAAAGCTGCAGATGAAGTGGTCTTAGATGCAGCTGCAACTGCAGGTTTGCTTCCAAATGGCGTCGGTGCCTTGTTTGATATGGATTGAAAACCTGCTGCTGAACCTGTTTTAGATGGGGCTGTGCCTTCCGGCTTGGTCCCAAATGGATTATTGGATGTGGTAATTCCAGCCTTAGTTCCACTAAACGTTGCAAATGGACTGGTCGAAGAATCTTTCAATCCAGGTGCAGTAAAAGTATTACTGTGACGAGTATTAGATGCAGACTTGCTGACGAATGGGCTGGACATTGATGTGAAGGTTGTGAATGGATTGGTCTTAGATGGAGCTGCAGCTGCAGGTTTGCTTCCAAATGGGGTTGGTGCCTTGCT